TGATACCCATTTTACCCGGTGCTATGGTGGATGATATCTTTTTAAAAGCACTTGTACAAACACAAGTGTGCAGCCTGTTTCTTGGTTTTTGAAATTCATCCACTTCAAACCTGTTTTGCTTATATTTTTCTAGCTTTCATTCAGTTAAATATCTTGTAGCCCTAAAATCTACAACAGTTTTGTTGCAAGTTTTTTTCCTATATATCATGCATGTATAACAAGCTATTAAGTAGCCTACTTTCTCCCAACACTTGGAACTTGTCCAAAAAAATTGCTTGCTTTTATCTACTACTTTTAGTTTAAATCCTTGATTTTTGGTTGGCCTTGAATCCAAATTTAAGTGTGGAAGTAGGATTTTATACAACACAGATAACACTTTGGTGGTTTCATACCAGCCACAAAGTTGATACAATTAATCGAGCCCCCGAGTTCTGCAATTATTTCAAATACTGAAATATCTATCCCGAGTTTCGGTTTTTGTGGCATCTGCAACCTTTATACACGGCCCATACTGATAATGAATCATACAAGTGTCGTGCATGCAATAGAGGTCAACTCCTTAACTTTTGTCCTCAGATTGCTGAATTTGGCCTTCCCACTCAGTTTCCAATGGCTGCAATCTCATCTTTGTTGCCAATAGAAGTTTAGTGCTCTTTAGGATGCCTACTAGGGATGACAGTGGACCGAAGCGGGGGCGGGGGGTGTAGTCTCCATCCTCGTATCCGCTTAAAAAAATTCCGTCCATCTCTGGTCCACTCCCGTTAATGAATATATTTTTTATCCCCATCCCCATCCGCAGATAAATTTGTAATCCCCACCCCCGTCCTCGTCCACCTAACCCGCCCAAGCCCAAGCCAACTTAATCCAAAATTCTAAATAAATCTAATATTTTAAATAATTCAACATAATTATAGAATATTATAATCTAATTAAAAGTTTATAATTTACAACATAATCCAGTAATAGCAAGGGAGGGTGGGGTAGGGACGGGGCGGGGATAAGCGTCAGTCCATCCCCACCTTCATCTCCGTATGGGTTTATATGAGTATTCTCGTATACGTCCACCGTCCAATACGTATGGTCTATCTCTAGTCCAAATGGGGCAAGTTTGGACAAATACCTATTTTTATCTGGTCCATTGCCATCCCTAATGCCTTGAGTCTGACCTCTATGGGTACTATGGAAGACTACACTGGAGATTACTAGCACTTAATAGAAGACTAGACTTCATGTTTCTAAGAGGAGGGCACAAAGATTTTACATGTGAATTCTTGAAAAGGTTAACCCATAGAGTGCAATAAACCTTAAAACTAGGATAAATATCATTCGCACCCCCTGGCATTTGGTTTTATTACATGGACATCCCGTCACATATTAAAAATGACTCTAAGACCCTAGTCAGTGGATGTCGTTAACGACATTAATAGAAAGACCATTATACCCTCAAATTAACTGGTAATTTTCGACATTCCTCTTCACCAGCCCACCACGTTGCCACCAAACGGCACCCCACCCTAGTCACCTTCCTCACTTTTTCAGTCCCTTCCCCCACCACTACAACACAATAAATCTCCCTCACTACCCATGACCCATGAGTATAACCATAACCTATAACTTTGCACCTATAGAACAACCACCACCCCAACCCCCTCAACTACAGCACCCTCCAACAACCATCCCCACCCAAAACATTAACCCGCCCAAAAACCCAACTCCCAAGTCAAGCACAGAACGTTAAGAGAGAGAGAGAACGAGAGATAGAGATGAAGTATAAATCTGAGGAAGTCAAATTCGTTTTGTAGATCTAAGGAAGCCGAATTCGATTCGCAGATCTAAGGAAGTCGAATTTGATTTGCAAATCTGAGAAATCGAAAGGATATGAAGTTTAAAAAATTTGCCACCACTCCTGAGGAAGTCGACAATGTGTTTGTTGTTTAATTTGGGGGGTTTTGGGGTTTGATTTTAATTGTAGTGGTGGTTGAGTTGTGTGTAGTGTGGTTGAGGTGGTGGAAATGAAGGTGGAGGAGAAGAATGTGGTGAGGTCGTTGGACTGTGGTGGTTGTGTGTGTGTGTTGTGAAGGTGAAAATGAAGATGGAGGTGGTGGACCGGTGATGGAGTTACTCCTTTGCTGGGCAGTGATGCTCTGTGAGAGAGAGAGAGAGAGAGAGAAAGGTGGTGGTGGTGAGTATGGTGGTGGTTTCTGTGGTGTGGAGGCGACAGTGGGTGGTGGTTAACTATGACGGTGTTAATGATGAATTTTGGGGCAAGTGAATCAATAAAATAAAATTTACATTAAACAATAACTGTGATGGTTAATGATGGATTTGGGGGCAAATGAATTGATAAATAGAATTTACATTAATATATTGTCTAATAAACAAAAATGTCTAATATTTAACTTAATAATTAGACATATTATGAAATTCATCATTTAATTGAAAAATTTAGTTTATATATGAAATATAAAATAGAGAAATGATAAGAGATGGGATAAATTTTTAAGGTAAGAAGAATAAATATTTGGAGGGTATTTTTAGTATTTCAAGAATTATTATTGATGAAATCAACCTTGACCATGAACTATTTTAGCATTTGTTAGTTGGAGGGGGTGTGGATGTTATAAGTTTCAAATGTCAAGGGGTCTCATTGTCATTTTTAATATGTGAGGGGGTGTCCGTGTAATAAAACCAAATGTCAAGGGGACTACACTGCAGACTATTAGCACTTAACAGAAGACTAGACTTCATGTTACTAAGAGGAGGGCACGGAAATTTTGCATGTGAATTCTTGAAAAGGTTAACTCAAAGAGTGAAGCAAACCTTAAAACTATGGTTCAAGGTCACTATATTGGTCATTCACTCGAAAGGCGCTGAGATGTGCCAGTCATGGCGTTGTAGAACGGACCAGACAATGATCACGAAATGGTGGATAAAAAAAGTTGGACATGGCGACAGATTGAAATGTCGGCGCATGATATCGGATGATGACATCATCGACTCGGTGTAGCCAAGCGAGATATCTTGTAGTCAACCATGAATCGAGTTAGATTCATGACCGACACATAATGTATATGGTTATCAAAATGGAAAGTGTTGAGTTGGATACAACTCAACAGAGCCATGTTTGACTCGGCTGGTCATTGGAATACTATGAAAAATGGAGCTCAAATAGATACAAAATGAGACAGAATGACAAATCTTGTCATTCCATGTCAATTACTTCCAGTTGTAGGTAATGATGTATGATTTTCACTGTATTGTCATTATAGCGAGAGAAAAGTGTGTACAGAGTTTTGTTTAGAGCCTTTGGGCCACAAGCACATCCAAACCATAGGCATCAAATCTCAGGCTTCCCAAGTTGTAATACCATAGCTCCACTTAATGTGGTTTTCTGTTTATTTGTTGCACTGTGGACTATCACTTAGGTGGTGTTTGGATGACAGGATATGGGGGGATTAGATTGAAATTGTGAATGAGGTCTATTTATCCTTGGTTTGGGTAATTCAATTGGGATAGGATTTTTGTTGGGTTTCAAAACATCGGTCGTATGTTTTGAAGGCTACAATCCCATCTGCATGTGATAAAGAAATCCCTTCTGCTGTGAGGGATTGTGAAATTGTGAAGTAGGATTACCTGTGTAAATTCTAAAATACCCTCCACAGTAAAATTGTAGGGTTTTTACCCCCATTCCCTTCATTTTCCTGATCCGGCGGGTTATCAGACTGCTTAGCTCCATTATAGTGGTCGATTCATCTCCTCATGAGGCGACTACGATGGGCTAGTATCAGGCGGGGAATGCTTTCCAGATGCTGGGTAGTATCAAGCGACTGCTCAGCTCCCTTAGTCCGTCTCTCTCTCTCTCTCTTTGTATTTTGTGTTTGTCTTTTTCTCTCCCTGATGTAGAAGCCGAAGCATCTGGACCTATCTCCACTGTTTGCAAGGGAAGATGACCACTTTAAACAACTTCAAATCCAGTTAATGTGGCTGTGGTTTGGTTTTTTTGCACTTTACCCTCGGTCATTATTTAAAATTTACCACATAACTCTGTTATAATTTTGAAGTAAAATGATACTGTTATAAATTCTCTCATAATTGCCAAAATGTAGCATGGAAGGTCATGATTTGAGAGTAAGTGTGTGAAAATATTCGGTCTAATGAAATGGTTTGGGTCACATTAAAAATAATAATTGTTCTAGGGAGTTGCGTGTCATTACAAATATTAAATTTTATGATTTTAATATTTTTGCTCATCCTTTCCTTTCCTTATACAAAAAATGTAAAAAAAATTAACGTATTAATTAAAGCAACATAATTTAAATTGACATGATGTGTGCTAGTGCTTCATGCAATAATATTAAAATGCCCTACCATTTTGCATAATAAATTGCATTTTGGTCATTGAAAATATTAAATATGGTTCGAATTAATTTTGCTCTTTATTTAAAATTAACAATTAAGTTTATTATTAAACACACAAGTTCGGATTTTCAACAAATAAACAAATAATGACTTAGGCTTGAGTTGTATTGTTTTTGTGTTGGAAATAAATTTTTTTTCCATGATGCATATGATTTTTGTGATAAAAAGTGTACTGTACAAATTAAATGAAATAATTTTTACAAAATAAAAATATGCAATAATGTATATAAATGCGTAATATATTTAATAATATTTTTGGATGTAAAATAGACAATACTAATGGATTGAATTTTTTTTTCATTCCATTCCAAACATGGTATATGATTGGATCACATTGTTGTACACAAGAGTCAAATGGTCTTTTTACTCTGACTTATCTTCACATGTGAATGGGGCCCACAAACCAAATAAAACCTATCCAAACACGAGATAGTATTAGAATCTCATCTTTATAATCCTCCAATCCGGACTACTTTACATTAGATTGGATTGAATTTGGATTCAAATTAAATCCAATCCAATCCTTTCATGGTTATCCAAACACCACCTTATTGTTTTTCTGTATAGCTGCTTAATAAGAAATGAAGTATTGTTAGTCTTTAGCTTGCTTTTGTTATGCTATGGAAGAACACTGTTCTTCCCTGGTTTGGTGTGAAACCTTGCTTCTTGTGAGGAATGTTTTTATTCAAGGAAACTCATTGGAAGTTTGATGACTTTGGTTTAGAATTATATCTAATTTTTTTCCTTACCAACTAAACAATAGAATTGCGGATTGGTAGCAGCATAAATTACTGAATTACAATTTTGCTTACATGTAGTGCAGTTACATATTACATTTGGTAGTGTGGAACTGTTCCATCAGTTGGTTTTATTTGGAGCCTCGAGTGAAGAGCAGAGAGCCACTCGCTTGTCTCTTCTCATAGTGCTCCACATATCTATTGCCTTGCCCTTACATAAATGGATGGTTATGTTCCATTTACTTGTGAATTGTGACAAGGCACAAATGATAGTGGTGGTATCTATGTTTTCATCATGTTGGGGTTAAGGACGGTCTAATTTTTGGCTAGATTTGTTAGGTGGAGAGCCCTTCAGTGGAGCATTGATCAACTACTGTTGTGCAAAAAATATGTCTGTTTTTCCCCTTTAAAAAAAAATATGATTTCCAACAAAAAATTTGATTCAATTTCTTGTTTGAGGATTTTTATTTATCAATGAAGGCCAACCCTTTTACTTCTAGAGAAGTTGAGACAGGCATGAGTATCACTTTTTGCATTGGGGAGTTGTGGATAGAAGTGCTTAGCCAGTTTGTCTACTTGTGTTATACAGGAACTTGCCATTTCATTAACGAGAGGCAGTTTCCTCTTTAAGGTTCTTCAAAAACGTTAGTTTTAGCTAGATTTCAGCGAATCTATTGCATGATATTATACGAAACGCAGTTAATGATACAATGTTATATAATATAAGTAATCATATATTTGCATTGGGTGATCAGTAAGTGAACCAGCTGAAACTTTCTGTTTTATTCAGGCAAACATGTCTACCGCAACACTTTCATCCCACTGTATGTTCACAATTGTACCCCCGAGCCGAAGTACAAGTGCCTTTATCAAGAGCCCATCCTCTCTAGGATCTGTAAAGAGCATCTCGAAAACATTTGGCTTGAAATCCACCTATGGTTTCAGAGCATCTGCAATGGCAGTATACAAGATAAAGCTGATTGGAGAGAATGGCGAAGAGACCGAGTTTGAAGCCCCTGATGATGCTTACATCCTGGATTCCGCAGAGAATGTAGGAATTCAGCTTCCATATTCTTGCAGAGCTGGTGCATGCTCCACCTGTGCTGGGAAGATTGCATTGGGTTCTGTTGATCAGTCTGATGGATCCTTCCTCGATGGGAGCCAAGTAAATCAGGGTTACCTGCTCACTTGCATCTCCTACCCAACTTCAGATTGTGTGATTCATACTCACAAGGAAACCGAGCTATATTGAGCATCTATTTGAGGCCATACCTCCAATTTGGTGAGTGGTAAGTTTTTTTTTTGTCTTGTTTTCAGGTTTGAAATGTAGTAGATTGGACGGGTTGTATTGGACCTCTGGTACTGATTTTTAATGATGTTTGTTGTACACTGCGCTTCTATTAGTATACCCCCCCCCCTCCCTTTTTCTTTCTCTCCCTCTGGCAAAAAATAAAAAAGATGGGCGTCTAGGATAGAGTTCAAGTGACTAGATTGATGAATTCGTTCTGATAGTGACCCGATAAACTCATTGGATCATTGATCATTATTGTTGCAAGAGAATGTCTGCAATAGAATGCATGCTATGCAAGGTTTTGATATGACTTTTAGGCTGCCTAAGGATTGATAGATATGAATTAAACAGATTTCTGTTCGATTGGTTAAACGATGTTATCTTTCATTTGCTTTTATCAAGATGCATCTAAAGTTGAAATTTATTGATGAAGGATTCTATTTGCATGAGTACTGTAGTCGAATATAATCTCTAAATCTAATATATCCTCTCCCTCGTCTAGAGGGCCATCTTTAGTTAGCATCAAGATTGTTCTATTGTGACCTAAGTATTCTATGTGCGAGTCTTGAAATAGTCTAATTTTGCACGCAGGGATGAGCCTCGTGACCAAATTTCCTATCCTTGTCTAATTACAACTAATGGATTTGACTCCAATTTACCTTGATTACAAATATCAAAATATCCTTTAATTTCTTGTAAGGATTTTGATCCTTACTGGGATGTTGAAGGATATGATTTGAAAAGCTTTTGCAATGGGGAAAACAATCCATCCCCTTCTTGTGTGTCAATGGATCTAATGGGATAGCCAAGAATCTGGCCGTGACATTTAAAAATAAAACAAGCTTGAAAGCAGCTGTCACTGCCTAGTCAAGGTTCTTTTGGATAATGGAGAATCGTACCAGTCACTTGTCTTGTGGACTATTGGTTATAATGTAAACTCCGGATTGCATCCATTCACTCTTTAAGCCAAGCGTTATGATGAGAGTTGATCTTAGAAATTTGTGTTTCCATGCGAGATGTATATGAATGTTTATTTTGCTGACTTAACACTAATCATGGTTCTCTAGTTGTCTCCAGTGACATTCTATTTTGATGTACTGCCTTGTATACCAGGAAGTAGAAAGGTGATTAAGTAGGTTACATTAAGGAGGTAGGTCATGCGTGGATGTTTTGTTTCTTCCACTTGTTTCACTGGTGTTTGATATGAAACTGGGGTTGTAAAAACATGATGCATCACCCAATAGGCTGTAATGTTCCCCGACTGAATGCTCTTTCCTGCATGGCTTTCAACCAGGACCGAAAGGAAAGAAATGCGAGATCGAATGTGGATAGAATTTTTTTGTATTCTAATTAGACCCAAATAAGAGTGTTTTCAAACCGATCTAATCCATTTTTATGCAAAGGATGTAACAAAACGTCACCTACCTTTGGAATATTATAGTTGCGGTTGTGGCCGTGGTTCACGGGGGAGTCGGTCATCGGCTCCCTTGTCATCAGGCACCAACTTCCTTGATCTTCTAATACTAGATAAGCGTCAACCCTCGTACATGGTCTTACAATTTTACGTAGACTTGTGTTTTGATAAACAGTCTACATTAAATACAGACTGTTTGAATTTATTATCATTCCACACATTTATTAATACCCAATTCGAGATGACAATAATTGATAAAAATATGTTGGTGATAAATCTATGGGTAATATTTTTTTCTACTTTTTGGTTTTTTAGACTTATTGAACGGTTGATGAAATTGAATCAATAACAAATCGACTCCTAAATCAAATATGTACACCAGATATATAAATCAAATAAATTTTTTCCATACTATTCGTCCAGCAGAGTCAAATTTATACAGTAATTCGATCTTCTTGACATTCCTATCTACAATATGGCTTATGGTTATGGAAGATGATGGCCGATCGAGAAAGCGAGAGGCACCCCAAAAAGCACACTTTAGGCCGAAAGAGATTTGGTGAAGAAGAATCGTGGACAAGCTTTTTCTAGAAGCCAACATGCACGTCGAGAGGGTCATGGAATAAGAATAAAGTACCTCTCTATTGTGCTCTGCCGGAAAGTTTAGATTGAAAGGAAACGTTAAATGTTTATGTTCTGTATGATTATCAACCTTGTAAACAATAGAAAAGTGCGCTTAGAATTCATGAAAGTAACTTTCCAGGGAAAATTATCCAAAAGAAAGAAGGAAAATATTTTGGATCCCAAATGAATAGGGATCATTGAATGAATAAATCCCGTCAATTTTTTTAACAAAACCCACTGATGATTTGTCTAGAAGCAGCCACCCTTAAAAGAATGTGTAATAACTCACTGATCGAGCGTTGTTGCATTAAAGATGAACAGGGCTAAGCGATCTATCGAAGTTGGGGGATGTAAAAATACATCGATAGTGGAGCATTCCGCCTTAGAGGGAAGGACCCGCGTGAGCGGTAGTGGACAAAGCGAAAGCGAGAATGTCGACTTGAATAACACAAATATTAGTGAAAATTCAATATCCCAAAAACTTAAGATTTCCTCCGTAAAATTCGTCTAGAGGGTGAGTCAGGATCTAACATTAGGCCGAAAGGCATAGTCAATAGACAATTACTAAATATTCCTATACTATCCCTTGTTGGTCCCAATAAACAGAAGGGACTAGATTAGTCAAAAGATGGTTATCAATTGAACCAAGTAAGGTAACCAATGATCACACCTAGCATTGCTAAGAGAAAAAACTTGCTGGGGCAGAATTTTGTGTTTAGTCAGGGAGGCTTTTGCTCTGCACAAGCACAAGGCTAACCACTTGAGTTGAGCAGCATCTATATGGGGTCACATCAGGGACCACGCATGTTTCTATTTTGTATTTCATGTCAACGCCAACAGTTAAAAGTTTGGAAAATATTATGCATACCAAAAAAATCTTATTTGAATGGTTGAATCAATAAATCTGGTTATAAAAATAAATGAAACTCATTGATCAAACCATCTAATCGATCGGTCATCGTGTATTTGATTAGAGATTATTAATTTTTAAAATTTCAACAGAAATCATAACAGATAATTTACTTTTAAGACCAGTTAAAAAAAGTTGTATAAGAAGGATTTAAATCCCTAGGAGAGGTAAAATAAATATAAATATAAACTTTTTTGACATTCAAACTCGCACTATCACGGTCTTAATACAACATTTTTATCATGACAGTGGATAGCGACCATGATTGTAAGCTGGTCAAATTCCCAATCCAACAACTTTCTCAAATCAATCTTATTTCTATTAAAAAAAATAATAAACAAGAATACACAACTGTTGAGATTTGACTTTTTTGGTGGTTGGTACTTTTTTTATCTATGAATTTTTTAAGTCTATTATTGCACTCTTCTATTGAGTAAGCTTTAGGGATTATTATCACATTGTTTTAAGCATAAAGCTTTTGACATTTCCAACTAACCCAAGGCTTTGTCTATAGGCAATGCTTTACTTCTAAAAAATTAGAAAAAAGAACCAGCCTAAGCTTCTAAAATATAAAGAAAAGGTGGGAAAACTTAGCTCCAAATTTTCCTCACAACAGCAGTACTCATATGAAGGCCCGTGTGTGGGGTGAGGCGTGTTCATGTTTTATCTTAGTGGTTCATATCAAAAAGTACTCTATTCATAGTCGATTTATATATTAATTTTTGTCAAACAAATCGTGTTATATCGAATTTGTATCATGTATTTCTTTTGATTAGCTCATACATAATTTGTTTATTAATCATGTCATGTCAAATTCATCCGTTTACGAAATGAGTAGTTTAAAGAAGAATAAAAACCTGTAAGTTTGTGTTGGTTTCGTATCGTGTTAACGAGTCATGTCATANAAAAGAATAAAAACCTGTAAGTTTGTATTGGTTTCGTATCGTGTTAACGAGTCGTGTCATATTTTGATATCCCTGCTCGTGAAATAGTAATTTGTTATTAAAGATTTGATNAGAAGAATAAAAACCTGTAAGTTTGTGTTGGTTTCGTATCGTGTTAACGAGTCATGTCATATTTTGATATCCCTGCTCGTGAAATAGTAATTTGTTATTAAAGATTTGATAACACTAATTAGACAAAATCCATAGAAAAATACGAAGTTAAATGTGGCGCCCCAAACTAATAAAAAATTACATGTGGGTCAATTCGAACCCAGACCACTATCTATGGGTAATTTTTCCTTGGACACTCAATTTTTAGCATTCAAGTTGAATTTGAATAAAAGAAGTCTCAAACCAATTTTAATCCANAATTTATTGATATGATAAAATTAGTAACGGGAGCTAAAAGAAGGGTTATATTATAATATTTGAAATATATTGAATAGATATAATGTAAAAAATCTAATTTTTAAGGGTATAAAATATAAATTCTTAAATATTTGATAGTNCGAACATCTCAAATTTTAGGGACCCAATCTGCTCTCCGCCCATTTTCTTTAATATACATTCAACTCAAATTGAACTTGAAATTTAATAGGAATTATATAACTAGAGAATCAAACAAATCTCAATCCAAATGGTGTCTTTCGAGAGGAAAAGTATGGACATTGATTGAATTCAAGTTGAAGGTCACATGGCGAGAGGTGTTATGAATTAGGCGTAACTCGTGTCTGAGATACGGTGTAATGTGAATGATTTTAAGAAGAATGTTGGTGGCCGTTGAATAAATCTATTTGAAACTGTCGAATAGACTCATTAAAATCTGTCATATTTTATATTATAGAGTTCATTAAGCTCATATTGTCCTCCTCTCCTCCTCCAAATCCAAAAAAAAATTGCATTCCTAAGATGGTCAGAAGTAGCATTNCTCGTTGGTATCGGGGATTTTTAGTTTTGACGCAATGTTAAGGTTACTCTGTTATGAATTTGTGCAGAAATAATTTTTTTTGTTTGTAAAAGTGAGAGTGAGTATAATTTAACTCTCCTTAAATGCCATAATATCAGAAAT